TGGAAGACCAGACCTTAAACTCTGAGCCTTGACCATGCAAGCAGGCAAGTACACCAACCTTGCAGCTTTTTTCTGCTGCCGCTGGAAGCCCAGGCAAAGGTTCGTCGCCGCGGGCCACGGCACCTGGGCGAATCCGTCTCTCGCCTGAGCTCTCTTAGTTCCCCTATTTGATCCAGCATTCAGGGTCCAATTACCGAATTAGCAGGTTTTCTTTTCGGTACCTAAAACCCTATTATTTGAGCTCTTGGACCCTGACGGTTGGCTTTGCCTCCTAGACCTAGGCCTTTTTTTAATGGTTTCCTACCAAACTGACCGTTTTGTCTTATCAAACTGGGTTCTATTTTCCAGGACCTTGCAGGGTTCTGGGTACCCCACCCAAGTTAGCTTAAACTTGCCTTGATGGTTCCAACACACACGAAAACAAATCCACTTTGGATGAATGGACGCGGTGCTGCGCCCTATGCCCTAGGTAAGCCCTATACCCGAAATGCTAAACCAGCAAGGTCCCTTTTTTTTCTGGCAGCTCTGAGTGAACACCAAAGCCCTAGAATCTCTAAAATGTAGGCACCCATAACACTATTTCCTATATGCATACATATATATATATATATGCTCAACAGTGAAAACCTATTCTGTTTATTGCGGCCCCAATGCTGGAGACAATGTTATTATCTCTTACTGGGTCGAAGAAACCTTATTTACTGGTTGTTGTTCAGATTCAGCGGGAATTACGGGCCCGCCTAGATCTCCACAGTTAAAAGCCCTAGTTGATTGGTTTGGGGTTTGAGGGGTAGGTTTCCCATAAGGAACCCACGGCTAATGGTTTGTGTTATACAGGTCCTTTAGCAGCCACGAAGAGGAATCGTTTGCATCTGAAGATTCAGATAGGAACCCGGAAGCCATGGAAGCCAACCACTCACTAGTCTCTATATGGCCTTACGATTTCCCATTCCAGGTCACTGTGACGCTAAAGTCATCTACAGCCCAAAAGTCGTAACCACCTACATTCCCCAGGCTCTGTTTCCTTCTTACAGCTTGTGCGACTTCTACGGCTTGTCTTCGGGTTTCTTGTTCAGCCCTTCTATACTCCAAGGAGACTGTCTTAACATGTCGAAGGTCGAAGGTATTCACCTACGCCCAAGAGATTTGAAGCAGGAGTTTTATCTCCAAGGTCCGATAAACTTCGCCGTGAACCCTCGGGGTATTCTATCTCATGGGATATCCCTTGGGGCAAGCAGTCTTAGCCTACACTCTGAAGCGAGCGAGACAGAGAGAGAGGGAGAGAGAGAGGAACCCTTTGTTGCATTATAGAAGCCTCACCCTAAACGCCCCTAATAAGTCGTGAGGGTAGCTGCGGGGCTTGGGCTTGGGGTGTGGGATTGATCTGACGTATCGGAGAGCCGCTGGTTCCTCCCCCTAACAAAAAGAACATGCAGAGCACTTACACTCCTGGACACAACTTTCATTGTAACCCCTGGATCAAACCTTAAATAAAAATACCTGCGCGACCGGATTATTGCCATCGAAGCCCATAGATGAACTGCTAAAGGCTTCTGAAAAACAACGTTCAACAAGGATAAACCCACCCACAAGGTTCGAGCTCGTGGTGAGTGATCCGCTCTTCCAGGGTTTGGCGCAGACGTTGGGGTGGCGTCTGGCACGTTTTTGGGGTACGCGTCTCCTTCGAGGGATCCGTTAAGGGATCCGCTGAGTGTTCCTTTTAGGTGTCCTAATTATATTGAATCTGCAAGGAATCTACAAACTTTAGGTACTATCTTATGGGTTTAGGATTTTCGGATGGCTATCAAAATCTTCATGCCGAAACACCGAAGCCCTAGAGGACCTTTATACATCCCTTATAGACCCCTCGCAAATTCAGAAATTGGCTTTGCGGCTGAGCTTTCTAAGTGTCTTGGAAGATGTTCCAGGGTCTTGCCAGACTGTTCTGGGTTTGATTTTGGGTTTGGGCTTAAGATGGCCTTACAAGCGTTGAGAAAGAATGCCCAGCCCTGGAAATGTTGACCCGCTCTCCGGGGCTTGGTCCTCTGCCTGTTGGAACGGCCTAAGACAAAGATGCTAGGGTGTACGCAAGCTATGCGATTTTGGGGGGTGTTTACATAGGGCTTGGGATTGCTGGTGAGGTGTTGGAGGTGGCTTGGGATTTTTTCTGGATCTGGTTCTGTACTTCATCCCTTAGCAAATATGGTGGATATAGCATGTGGAACAAGGTTTTTAGAGTCTTTGTGGAACACAAGAGAAGGAATGTATTCTTAACTGTCCCAGCTATTCAATCGCCTACATGACAAATGAAGCCCTCGAGTCGTGAAGCAGATTCCTGCCTGTAGATGAACGTTGTAGGATCTGAGCAGGTATGAGTAATTTATGAATATAACCATTTCACAGTACGAAACAGCGACCGCCCCACTCCCCCGCCCCGCGGTTTCTCGTGGAGAGTTTGGAACTGCCACTAGTGGATCCTCGCCCACACAGAGTCTCGCTATGGCAGACAGGAGAGGGCGAGAGACGGAGAGCACAGCAGAGAGACCCTCCTGCACAGGCAACAATAATTTTAGACGCATGGATAGATAAACCGCGCATGAACCCGCGCACCCTACCCTTGAAAAAACGAATTGCAGACTCGAAATGAATTGCCCAACCCCTAAACTCAAAAACCAACGACAGGCAAAGCGGCATGTCCGGGGCGCAGGGGCTCTTCTCCTTGCTCTGCTCCTCGCCGGCTTTTAACTGGCACGGAGGGCATGCTTCAGCTAGCGTACGGTTTTATGAGGGAGATTTTTGGTTTTTCTAAGCCATACCCTACAGCCCTGTCTGGATTGTCCGAATGCGAGTGTCAACGACCTCAACCCTAGAGTGTTTGATAGTCGACAGATTCCCTTCCGAGGTTTCATTAGTGTTCAGATGTCAAAGGGTTCTTGTATCGTGGAGCCGTGGCTTCAAGGTCATATAAGGGGCCAGAATAATTAGTAATAGTATCCCCTTGTACTCCCTTACCGTGCCTCGTATAACTATCGCATCATGGGCACCAGAACCCCAACCAAATCCTCAAACTGTCAGAGGCACTCGCGAAAGGTATTGACGGAGTGCGGTTTGAAGTTTAGGGTGCAGGGCTGAGACCTATACACGTAGAGTAGCTGAGTAGGCGGGCTTAAAGCATTCGGCTTAAATTTATAATAACCTGACCATAATTACATGGTTATCTTGTCGGAGTCCGAAACCTTGAACGGTGAGCGCATATGCTTTTCAAGGACAACCGCATCAGAAGGTCAAAAAACAAACCTGGGCTGGGTGAGTAAACTGCAGGCCAGATCATCTTGCGAGATGTGGCATTACCCAAACGGGACCATTTCCTAATCCCGGACTCTACGAGGAATTGTTATGGGGCATATGGAACCTGGGAGACAGCTCACAGTGTTGCGATCACGGCCCCTGGCCTCTCCCCCCCGCCCAGCATGATGGGTTCAGAGCAGGCGCTAGGTTGTCAAACCTATGCTGAGGTTAGGGTTTAGGGTTTAGGGCGGCGGCAGTTCCGGGCGAGAGAAGCCTGCTGCAAAGGGTTTAGAGAGCACGGCTTCGACAGTTTGGAGGTTAGGTTGGATGGGGGGGGAGTGTCTGCCGAGGCTGGATCACTTGTTTGCATGGTGGCCGGGCTTGATTGTGGCGCAAGTGATCCGCTAACGGCTCACCGAGCTTTAGACTTCAGACTTAAATAGCTTGGCTGGTTGTTGTACGCACACGGCCAAGAGATTCCTGGCACTGTGCAGTCTACTCTCTGCCTACTTCAAGTGGTTCTGGGGCCTGAAAACATGATTGGAAAGAAAGGAATCTTGAGGATTGGTATGGGGTAAACGGGCGTCCCATGGCTTCGTCAGACAGCTGCCGCTTGCGCACCCATGCTCGCCTGTATCACCGTCAAAAGACGGACAAGCAAGTGGTGCCACTTGGATTGATTAAGAGGGCAAGGACTGCAGGGTGTGCATCTTTTGCTGGTGCTTCTGGACAACACGGCCCTGCAGAACCTGTCCTGTTGCTGGCTGCTTACTGCTCCTTTGTGCCGAGAGCCACGCCACCAACACAACTGCAACCACCACTGACTTGCACCTTTAGTCTGAGCAGCATGCTGCAGCCATCAGCAGGAGCATCAACACCATTGCTTGAACAATCCGCGGCCACCAGGACGACCACCACAACAACCGCACACACACACACACACAAACAACATCTAAACCATCGACAAACGATTGAACATCACCACCAACAAGCAACAACAGCAATCGCCACCCACCACCACCACCACCACCACCAGCACCGGCTCCACCACCACCACCACCACCACCACCACCACCACCACCATCACGCCACCAGCCCTCCACCCACGAAGCCAGAACCATCCATCATGGTTTTGAGCAGCATCAACAACATCAGTGTCAGTATCTGCACCAGTATCATCATCAGCACCATCGGCAGCAGCAGCAGCCATGCTGCAAACCAAGATCACAGCAGTCTCCATGTAACGATGATGCTCCAAGTAGCCACGGCACTTTAACGAGCTTCACTTGTTAGTAGTGTTCGTGCTGAGTTTTGCGGTCCGGTCGTGTCAAGTCGGTGGTCGTCGTCGTCGTCGTCGTCATAGAAATAGTAGGCACGGCAGGTAGTAGTCCTCATAGTCGTTGTCGTAGTCGTAGTAGCAGTAGCAGCAGCAGCAGCAGCAGCAGGAGGAGGAGGAGGAGTAGTAGTAGTAGTTATTGTTGTTGTTGTTGTAGTCGTAGTACTAGACGTAGTCGTAGTGGTTGTGGTGGTAGCAGCTGTAGTCGTCAAAAAGACAGCTCAGGATCTGTACATACTCGGGCAAAGCAGACTATGTCGACCAGCCAACTCTGCGAAGGCTTGCAGCCCCCGTGGCATCCTGGATCGCCTACGGTCCGCGGGGTCGGATTCCGACACTGGAAGAGTTGCAGCTTTTGACGAAGTTCGTGGACAAAATGGATGGTGGGCTATTGCCTTCACGCTTACGCGCTGTTTTGTCCGAAGTGGAAGCCGTGCTCCAGTCTCTCACTAGGCAGGCCGATGAGGCTTGGAATAAGGAAGAGAAGCGTCTGCAAAAAAGCTATCGAAAGCTGCGCCGCCGCTGCAGCGAACCAGCTTCGGACGCAGTGGCTGTCGCTGCGGATGATACTCATGTTGCTGATGCAGAGCTGGAAGCCGAGCAGGAGGAAGCCGTGCAAGTCCGTGAAGCAGACGTTTCCGGGTCTTCCAGTACACCTGTGCTGTCTGATCAGCACCTGACCTTGTTTCGCAAGATGAACGAGTGGGGATTTCTGGACAACACTCAGAAGCTAGTGCGCTTGCAGCAGGCCGAAGAAGCATCAAGGCGCTCACGGAGGAGCTTGGGCCAGGAAGAGCTGGCAGATATCCTCAACATGGCTGCAGCTTGCATTACGGCCCCTCGCAGACATGCGAGGCAACCGCACAGGGATGCCACCAACGGAGGCGACGTCAGAGCTGTCCCGGAATCGGAGGAGCCGTCGACAATGGACCTGCAGAAGCGCGTTCGGTCGTTGTTATTGCATGCACTCCGTATGTGGCAGATGAACCAACTCGATTGTAAAGCGATCGAGCATGTCTTGGACTGCGTGCAAGAGAAGATCAGCAAATTCGAGAGCAAGGTGGGAGAAATTGAAAAGTGCTGCTGCAGGGAAGGCTTGGCTGAAAATCAAGCAGATGGTCGATGAGTTGCTGCTTCGGGTAGAGGTGCCTTCGAACCCACCGCACGCGAAAAGGACAAGAAAAGCCCATGCGGAAAGTGGTCCTAAAGTCAACGTAAGACTGGAGCGCCAGAGTGGCATTCAGAATATTTCCTGGGTTGTGCAAAAGGCAGCCTGGAAATGCGAAGAATCCAGCAGATGCGGTGGCGTTCGCACTGTGAAATCTCGCGTGTTTCCAATCTCCAAGTTCCTCGAGGAAGGCCTTGGTGAGGAGGCGGCCGTCGAGGCCGCGCTGCAGGAAGCCAAAGCGTTCCGCGAGGAGCTTGTGCGGCAGGGCAAGTTGAAGCCCCCGATGCCGAAAGGCCCCAGCTCGACTGTGAGGGGCGTTAACTTTGACAGAGGCACTCAGAAGTGGCAGGTGCAGCTGTACCATCACGCCGACAAGAAGCGTGTGCGCGGTGGTTACTTCGTTGACAAAGCGGAAGCGGAGGTCAAGGGCCGGGAGATGGCTAGGCAGCTGGGGGTTCTATCCGACTACGAGGTGCGGCCGGCGAAGAAAAGCAGAGCTGAGGTACCTTGAGAAGCTTGGCTTGGAACTGAAGACAGGAACACGATGCGACGTGGAATGTCAGGACCTCGGCTTGGCTTGCCCTAATGCTGCATGGATGCCCCGAGCAAAAAGTGCTCTGTTGTCATGCTTGAGGGGCACATATTAGTTTAACGGCTGCCAGACCCAAACAGGATTAACCAGTTATCCTAAATGACGCCTCGGGATTTGTTGAAACCTCTGTGGATAGGTTTAGTTCAGGGTTTCGGCTACCGGGCTATTACGTTAACCCTGCAATCGAAGCCGCCTGACGCTTACATCGAACTCTACATGTATTCGCGATGTTCATTTCGAACCTGTACACTTGCTGCCCAAAGCCGCCTCAGAAATTGTGGTACCGATCTCCGGGTTCAGAAACCCCGGCTTCAACGTCTGGATCGTTGAATCCTATTGCCCCTTCACCCAGCGCATCGTGTTTTGTTCTGCCAGCCTTAGATATTATATATTCCTCCAAACCCTAAGGCCGGGTGCTGGGATGTGTAGGCCAGGCTGAGCTTCTAAGCCTGCTTGGGTGTAGAGCTGAAACTTGGGGACAGGGAACTCAACAAGCAAAGGATTTCTGAGCAGGCTTTGGACTTGAGGCTCTAAGCCCCGAGTCCTCAACTTTCGGATGCACGTTTTACCGGATTGCGGGGTTACATAAGGTCGCCATATGGCCTCGATGTTGGTTGAGATCTGGTATGTTCGATTTCTTGAATTGAGTAATTTCCAAAGCTGTTAAGGCCTAGGTAGCTGCCTGTACTTCAGATGCCCTGTAGGGCTCTGGATAATTATTAGTAACCCTGTACTATCCCGCCTTTTGTCCCTACACAACCATGCTTACACCCAGGCACTATGAGGCTATATTGCACACCTTACACCTGGGCAAAAACCCTCAGAGTCGCGAACCCTAACCTTAGAGTTTCGGGTTCAGGGTCTAGGGTTCAGGGTTTAGGGCTCCAGACAGGCGTGCAATTGCCATGCCTGCTGCCCAGCTGACAGCAAAGAGCCTGGCTTCAAAAAAGGGTTTAGGATTTAGGGTTTCCTATCCCCAAAGCCAACCCTAATCCGGAAACTCCTGAAGATCTGGAGCCCTGAACGTTCAACAGCCGTCTCAACCTTCTTTAAATCCGCAACACTCACCCCCGATACCAAACATAATCTTAAAGCCCCACCCTGAACCCTAAACCCTAAACTCCCTTACGCAACCTTTAAAACCCCACAAAACTTCAGGTACCTTCCCCTACACCCTTTAAGCGCCACAAAACTTCAGGTACCTTCAACCTCTTCAGCCGACTACTCCCGGCGACAGAGCTTGAGGCCGATCCTACGGCCTGCACAGCAGAAAGTACTTGGGGTTTAGGGCTTTGTTCGAGGTTTACGTGCTCCGGGATGTTGTAGTTCGTTTCGGGTTCCCAGAGCCCACCCTAAACCGTAAACAGTAAGCCCATCTGCTCCTTGATCTGCAGGGATTCGGGTTCAGGGTGCTGGGGTACTTTGGAGTGAACATTACTTCAGATGGGGCTGTGGGTATAGTGATGTCTGCACTTCCCAGCCGTATTATAGCGATTACTACAGTAAGTCCCGTGATCCGGCAAGTAGGGTTTTAGGCAAGAGTGCGTCTGGGGCATGCAAGACTCTACTGACTCTGGCGGGGTCGGATTCTGGCTTGTGTCGATTCTTAAGAGTCATGGGCCCCCCTTCAAGGTTCCAGCGGAAGTGGAGCCTTTGACCCCACGTTGCTATCGGATGCCTGTGACGTGCAGGAAGTCACCGGGCGCCGCAGCAGGGCGAAGTACTTCACCCCACTGACTAAAGAACATCGCCACACTGAAAACTGAAAACCCTAAAGCCCGAAAACCTGATTGTTGTGCAACCTTCCTATATTGTCAAGCAGTAGTAGTCTCACTGATGACCACATGCCTCGCCTGGATTGTCCGAGCGCCGAAACCCCATCCAAAGCCTTGAACCCTGAAGGCTGGCTGCAAAGTCGCACCCACCGAGACTCCGAAGTGAGCCCTCAGCCCTACACCCGAAAAGACATCGAAAGACACACCCAGACTTAGAGGACTCCGTGACAGACGCTCTGTTGTCCACCCCTTCGAAAGCTTACATGGCTGGTTGTCCAAATGAGGGTTTCTTCTGGGGTTCCCAAATTGCTGGGTGCTGTATCGGAAGCAAAATTACAGAGGGTTCCCCAAAGAGACCATGATTTCGACAGTTACCCACATAGAGAGACACTCCAACAGCCCCTAACAGGGCGCGGGGCATTGTTGTTTTGGGGTTCAGGGCTTGCTACTCAGGAAATCTCAGGAACCTAGATTACCGAAACCATATACAGGAACCATGATAGATCCCCTTAAAGAACCCGAAAAGGGATTTTACGGTCCACACCTTAAAGAGCCGAAAGCCTAAAGCCAAGGCTCTGATACCCCCCCGAAGGGAATTACACGTCATATGTCAAATGATACCCACAGAAGGAACTATAAGGAACGATAGTCCTAAAGTTATATTGGGGCTTCTGTGATTTCAGGTTTTAGAGTTGGGGTTCGGGATCAGATATTTGCAGGGTATCTTGCGAGGCTGCATCAGTTGCGGCCGCGAATGGCTCCAACCTAGGTGACTCCAAGCCACATGGCTGCTTTGCGGGCTAACCTGGACCCTTTCAATGCAGGACCTTCCTGTTTTGGGATGTTTTCTAGGTGGCGGTTGCTTACCGATGAAAGACCCTTCTACTTGGGATCTACATAAGGAGTTCCTTCTTTTCAGAAACAAGGTCTGTGGCCTTTAGGGGTGGTTTGGGATGAACGGGCTTGACGGCTTTAGGATAGAGGGGTTTGTGGCGCAAAGCTTGAGATTTATAGCAAGGCTAATGGCTCGCAATCTAGCTGTTCGTCTACCCATGCCTCGCACGAAGGAGAGCTCATGGCTCGGAATTAGCTAATTCCGTGCCCTGATTCACAACATGCTTTTAGGGCCTTTTCATGGAGATCACAGTTCGTAACCCTCCTGTACGGAACGGGTTTAAACATCAGGGCTACATCAATCAAGGATTCAGGGCTGTGAGCCGTTAAAGATTTGAGCGACTTGACGCAACGAGGCAAGAGACAAGCCTCAGTTGCTACCGGACCGCCTCTCTTCAACAGGTTTGGGGTTTAGGGATTTCGGGCTTGAATGGCTTCGCTTGTGTTTAATTCTTGGTTGCAAGATCCCTACAGCTGAAACCTGAACCCCAAACCTTAAGCTTCTAAGACTCTATAAATCCCAAACTGTCACAAACCCTTATGGAGATCTCGCCCTCTTCGATATCACAATATATAAACCCCTGAAATAAAAGAAAGAAGCATCTTAACCCCGAAGCTGAAGCCAAGGTCGACACCTGCCCTCTGCACGCTGATCCACGAGGTGCCAAGAAGACCTACTGGTGGGTTTCGCTTGGGCTTGCTTGTCACCATCTACAGCTAAACTACCCTTAACAAACTCCATTGAAATAACAAATGTTACTACAGTATAACCTGACATTGTGTATATAACGATTTGTTCTATTTTAAAATATTTTCCGATAATGAAAGTAAGGTCGCCCATAACGGCACGCATTTGAGGGCCAGGATGCGGTCCTTGCAGACGGTTGGGGGCTCTCGTCCCATACACCTTACTTGTTGACTCCTCTACGGCGTTGCCCAGTCGGGTCGCTCGTAACACTCATATAATTTCACGAGATGCTGGACAATCTAGGGAAACGGTGAAGATAGGTAAAGCGGTGCCTACATAAAGCTTTCTATCGGCTACGGTTCCTTCGAGTGGTCATTGCTATATTGGCATGGCATGAACCACGAGAGCGACTGCACTACGACAACGATGGAACCGAATCTTTTTGCGATCCTTCAGTTACAGAGGTTGCGCTCTAGGTTGCTATGTTGATTCGCTGGCTCTTGTTTCAGCATTAGTCGCTCCCTTGGCGTCGCGGTTCTTGAAATCATGAGGGTGTCGGGCTTAAGGGATTGCGAGCCCCAGTTACGAGACCTACCAAGCCTCAAATATAGCATTTGCAAGCAAACCCCAAAACTTATCCTGCTGCTATGCCTGGACCCGCTTGCGAGGTCGAGCAATGTAGTCGTCAATACGGTCTTCGTGGTGCCGTTGAGGCGCTGCAAATTTGGAGTTTAGGGTTTGTCACGAGTGCAGCCTGGAACGAGTCAGCTCTCCTGGCGTAACGTTTCAAGCCAGTTGCAAAAGGGTTGAGGGTAGTCGTGGTGGGCTTCCGATGGTTGATGCAGGTGTTTAATTTAATTTAGGTCTTTAGAACTCGGCTTGAAAGTTTATGAGTAGGTCGGGTTATCATTAAGCGCTACATTATCTAAGCTTTTCCGGGGTTTCAAGCAGATGTACCCATGGGGACCTTTGCTAGGTGTTCTTGAAAAGTAGAGGTTGTGGCCAAGGATTCGGGTTCTCCACAAACCCTCAAACATACAGTGTAGAAGTACCTGGCTCGCTCTTTGTTGAGGCAGTCGGGTGACCTCTGTGTCACAGGGCTATTTCACGTATGCAAGGTCCCAGATTACGAACCTGTGCTGCCTCTTTCAAAGCTTTTCCTGGGTTTTCAACAACGGACCCTGGTTTCCCTAAACCCTAAACCCTAAACCGTAAGCGGGGATTTCGAACCATGGGTATCTTGACCTGGTTCCTGCGTTGGGCTGCTTGGGCTTTGAGCATCACCCGCTTCCGGTTTGGTGGTTCGTGTTTAAGGCGTTGGGGTGTAGGTCTTTAGGGTTTAAGATTTTGGGGGGTTCAGGGTGTTTGGCTTTAGGGCTGTAGGGTTTAAGATTTTTGGGGTTTAGGGTGTTAGGGTTTAGGGCTTCAGGGTCTAAGCTTTTCGACTCGCACACTCGTTTGGGGCTTTCTTTCAGCAAGGGATCTCTCTCCAAGAAACCCAAACGACCCTAAAACCCCAAGCCCTAAGCCCCACATCCGGAACCCTGAATCTGAAACCCGGAAGCCCCATGAACCTCCACAGAACCCAGGCCCTGCAGAAACCCTGAACCCTAAGCCCTTGGAAAACCCCAAAAATCCCGAATCCCTACATCCTAAACCCTACATCCTGAGCTCCCCAGAATCCCTTACTCTCTAAACACTATAAGCCTTCATCCTAAACCCTAAAGCTAGACCGAAAGCAAAGCACTTTAGCCGTAGGGGATGCCTGCTGCTGGACTTGGCTTGTTGGCGTTATCACTTAGTGCCGGGATTTGTCATGCGATGCGTTTTACCTGGTACTGTTGATGCTTTGGATAGTTGCAGGCATCCGTCACTCAATGTATCACGCAGACTACTGCACGCATGGATCCTCGCCTGGCTTGTCCGAGTTGTGAGAGGAACCCTAAACCCTAAGCCCTAAACCCATAAACCCATAAACCCATAAACCCTAAACCCATAAACCCATAAACCCTAAACCCATAAACCCTAAACCCTAAACCCTAAACCAAACCCTAAAGTTCCGAGCTCTCCGGCCATCAGAGGTGCAGCTGGCCAGCGTCGCCCGGTCGAAGGCAGCGCAGAGCAATGGAACAGGCGGATGTCGGGTTTCGGGTTTAGCCTTTAGGGTTTAGGGTTTTAGGGTTTAGGGTTTAGGGTTTTAGCAGGGTTTCGGGTTCAGCTAGTTCAGGGTTTCGGTTTTCAGGCTTAGCTAGTTTATGGTTTAGGGTTTCGGGTTTTGCTACCTTAGGGTTTCGGGTTTTAGGGTTTAGGGTTTAGGGTTTTAGGGTTTTGGGTTCAGCTAGTTTAGGGTTCAGGGTTTCGGGCTCATCTAGTTTAGTGCTGTGTCCCGTGGTTCTCGAAGTCAATTCTCTGCCTGAATTATGTCCAAAACCTGGCAAAGCCCGTAAATCCTGAGCCGCACATCCCAGGCGCAAACGGCCCAAACCCCTACAACCTCGTTGAGCCAACAAAGGAACCCTAAATACTAATCCGGCCCTAAACCTAAATCCTGAATCCTAAGCCCTGAACCCTAAACTCTGAACCGGCCCTAAACCCTAAATCCTAAGCCCTGAACCCTAAACCCTAAACCGGCCCTAAACCCTAAATCCTAAGCCCTAAACCCTAAATCCTAAGCCCTGAACCCTAGACCCTAAACCCTAAATCCTAAGCACTGAACCCTAAACCTTAAACCAGCCCTAAACCCTAAATCCTAAGCCCTGAACTCTGAACCCTAAGCCCTGACAGGTCCTGGGCGGCAGTCCGCTGCCCAAGAGCTCTTGATGAACTCCTTTACCGATCTCGTGAGGCGCCTTGCGGAGGTTTGGGTTTTAGGCTAGTCTTAGGGGTTTAGGGTTTAGCTGTTTCGGGTTTGGGTTTAGGGGCTTTAAAGGGCTTATAGGGTTTAGGGTTTAGGGCCTTTAAGGGTTTAGCTGTTTCGGGTTTGGGTTTAGGGGTTTCGGGGTCAAAAGGGCTAGGGTCCCAGAGTCCAGCTGCAAAAGGTGAGGGCTTAGGGGGTTTAGGGTGATAGGGTGCAGGGCTTAGAGCCCTAAACCCTGAACGTTGTCTCAGATAGACCATCATTCAGGTCGTGGTATGTATGGGGCTCTTTAAGGGTTCTAAGGGCTCTATAACACTAAGCCCTAAACCCTAAACCCTAAACCTTATAAGGTTCTGATGGTTTAGCTTGTAGTGAGGATACCGGGGCCAAAATCATGAAGCCTGGGGGCTCTGGCTGAAAGCTCCGGGCTACTTGGCCTGGGTAAGTTGTGCCCCTAGGTTTTGGGCCTTAGGCTTTGAGGGTTTAGTGTTTAGGGCTTTAGGGTTTTGGGTCTTAAGCTTTTAGGGTTTTGGGTTTTGGGTTTTGGGTCTTAGGCTTTTAGGGTTTAGGGTCCAGGGTTGCTTAGGGCTTCAGGGTTTTGGGTCTTAGGCTTTTAGGGTCTTGGGGGTTTAGGGTTGCTTAGGGCTTTAGGGTTTTGGGTTTTAGGGTCTTTGGGGGTTTAGGGTTTGGGCCTCAGGCTTTTAACTGGTTGGGGTTTGAGGAGCCCTAAATTTTTAAAACCCCTAGACCCAGACCCTCATATCTTGAACCGTACTCAGTTCTTGAACCCAACTACGACCTGGAAGCCCGAAGCCCGGAAATCCCAAAAAAGCGTGCCAGGCAGCTGCCCGCCGAGGAAGGTGCCCTGCCCAAAGCAGGCAAGGCAACAGAACCCAGACTCTCGGATGCCCTTCTAAGAGGGGTTCCTTAAAAGGGTTCTATACGGGTTGAGGGTTTAGGGTTTAGGGTTTAGGTTAGGTTTCGGGTCTGCCGCTGGGGCTTGAATAGTAATTACCAGTATCACGCCGAAGGGCTCCTTGTTGTAACTACATGATCAATCAGAGCATTGCTTTTGGGCACTTGATACTATCAAATTCCCAAAAGCAATCTTCTGAATAGGCGTTTAGGTTTAGCTTCTAAAGGCTTGACAGTCTTTGGCTGCTGGGTTTAGGGTTCAGGGCCCCTTCTAGAGTCTTTATAGTGTTCTGGGTCTAGGCCTCATTTGGGTCTGGGGTTCAGGGTTTTGTCTTTGGGCCTTACTCCACGTCTCACAGGGACGGTGCTGTAGAGAAGTTCGGGTTTTACTATTTGGCTCGTATGAGGGTTCATCAAGGTCAAGGCCTGTTTTGTAGCTAGGGGCTTGACAGGATGTAATCAACGGGCTTTGATCGACAGAGAAGCCCATGTTTTCGT